TGAGATCTGACAGTTAAACGTGATATGAATATACTATATTTGCACTATGCAGGTCAGAAACATTCCAAACTTTCAATTTCCATTTTTTAAAACCCCTTTTCTATTGAGTTTCATGTGGCAAACTTAAGAGTGATGTCCTCCAAAACTAGTACAAATGCTCTATTTTATTCATCTTTAATCACTTGCTTTTCCCCAAAATAGTCTTTAAAAAAGAATTATTTTAATGCCAGGATCTAGTTTAGGCTCCCATCCATCTCTTCTATCTTTTAAAAAGTGAAACACTTCCTTAAAATAGACTCTAGTTATTTTGATGCCCTTGAAATTTTTATGGGCTTTGCAGGAAAAAGGCTGATGGATCGCTGCATATTTGTAAACTTTGGGGAGTTATGTACATTACATGAATTTTCCTGGGTAAGGAAGTTCCTAGAATTTATCAATTTCAAAGGGCCTAGGAACGTAAAAAGTTAAGAACCACTGCTAAAATGATTTTGTACCACTCACTGTACCTAATTATTACTAATTTTGTTCTGCAGCTACCCAATCTAAACAAATCTTACTTCAGATAGTACCATACAAACACAAATTTACTAAATGTCCTTTACTGAATCAGGAGGACTATATAAAAGAAAGGAAAAACATTAAAATTTTCTAAACATTTAATTCATAAGCAAGCTAATAGAAAACCATTTTAGAGCAATTAAAAGAACAAAAGGATTGGGCTTGGGGTGAAATAACCTTGCATTTATTTTTCTGTTTTTAAGTTGAAGCAGCAATTTTTATCATTATTTCCCTTGCTGGGAAAAATCAAATGATCTGAAGAAACAAAGGTCGGTTCTTTGCTGGTTTATGTGATGCAATAGTTTTTAATAATATACAGCTGGGCTTAAGGAGGACCTTCCTATGGCTTTTAAAATAATTAAGAGTAATCCTCTCTGTCTTCCTCACTGGTATCTCCCCACCCCTTAATCTCCCAGGTTTTCTTATTTTTGGCCCACTTTTATATAGTGTTATTAATTGGCCTTGGTAAGGTAATGCACCCAAGAAAACAGAATTGGCCTGCTTTAAAAAAGACAGAGAGAGAGAGAAAGAACATCACCAAGAGGGTAGTAGAGGAAATAAAGCAACATTTCTGCTGGATGAGGGAGGGAAAAAAAAGTTACTTTTTTGTTTTATCAATTCAAACAACATTTTCCCCCATCTAATATAAGATGTCAACTACAATTTCAACAGATCTGAGTTCTTCTAGTTGGCGCACTCCTACGTGCTGGTAATATAATCGGGGAAAACATAAGAGCAGAGGCCATTAGGTTAATATATGTATAGAGCAGGTAAAAGGGAAAGAATCTGTGTGAAGGTGAACAAAAACAGAAATGTTCATTTGACAATGAAGTGGAACCAAATGCCTCTCATCATTTCTGTATGGCATTCTGATTATCAGTAATAACTAACACTTGAGACATATTATTCTGACCAACAAAACAGCAGTATTATATTCCCAGCATTTAGAAAATGTATTCTTAAATATTTCAAGCATATTCTAAAGTAATGTATAATTTAAAAATACAATCCAAAACTCATGGCACATTATTGAAGGAAATAAAGTAAAATTAGGCTCCTAAAGTTTTAAACTCTAAAGAAGTCGTCCTAATGTCTAAAAGAAAAACTAATTAGACTAGATCAAATTACAAAATGGTCATCTCACCAGCAGTATCTGCAAGCAAAAGTATGAAACTCTTTAAGGTTCCTTCAAAGAAAAACCTCAAAAGAGAAACATCTATGTACTGAAATATTTACATATTTTCTACTACCAAATCCTAACGTAATACTGTACAAATAACAACATCACAAGCTTACACCTCTAATTCAAACTTTATGAATTAAAAGTATATATATGCCATGAAATTAAAAATTAAAACAAAAAAGAAAACCTGTAACCAATTTTGTCAGTTCTTTCAGAAATCACAAATTGAATTTGTCCAATAAAGATGGGCAGTGAAATTATCTTAAAAATTAAAACATAGTAATCATTTGGCTAAAGCCAGATATTAACACTGGCAGTGTTTTTTCAAGAAACAGAATTTTTCTTAAATTTTTATATATGTGTGTATATATATACACACACACACATTATACATATACATATATATACACATATATACACGTGTGTGTGTGTGTGTATATATATATATATATATATATATATATATTTTTTTTTTTTTAATGCCTTAAACTCAAACTCCCAACAGTATTTCCAGGGTTGGAGAATTCTAGGAAATCCATGACCTGTTTCTCTGCCTGGCTGCTGTCAGCAGGAAGAGTACAGGCCATTGGTTAAAAGGTAGTGAAGCATACTGAATAGAGTTGGGCCTCCTCAGTCCAATTCTATTACTATGCTGAGTAAAATTTTCTTCTGAGATTTTTAACTTTGGGGAAAAAAAAATAAATGAAGAGTTTCAAGTGAATAATGGAAGTACAAATGAGCTCTTCAGGGCAGAGACCTGCCTTGTTCAGGAAAATTATCTGGCAGACAGTAGGAGGGCAGTAACCATTTTTTTGAATGAGTAATTAAGTTATAGTATTAACATACATTAGATTATAAATTGTACTCAAATGTAAACTTGAGCGCAAGGACCTATTCATTTCTTTATAGTTCCAAAGTACTTAGCCTAGAACAGTGTTCTATAGATAACCCTCAATACATTTTGTGGAAAAGCTGAATTATTAGTGGAATTAATATGTGGTCAAATGGATGAATACTAAAAGTGTTGGTATAATTCAGATTATTTGAATTACATAACTGATTTATTCTTTAATCCAAATTTCTTAATGTACTAAAAAAAATAAGTGGCTGGAACAGTACACTATTTGCACAGTACTCTAGAAGCAAGCATTATAATTAAAAATGTTTGAAATAGTTCTAAAGCAAATTAACAAAAATACCACTTGGATTTTTTAAAGTTAATGCTAATACTGAGAACTGCTTCTGTTATCTGTAAAAGTATATTTCTTAAGAAAGTGGAAATTAAGAGAGCTTACCTTGCTAAAACAATAAGAGATCAGTGAAATTTTTTAATGTTAAGGTAACAAGAGTCTGCTACACAAAATAGATTTTCTATTAAAAGCAGCAAATTGAGTTCGTCCTATTAAAACACATAAATGAAAGTACATTTGAATGGTATACTATCATCACACAAGAACTTCATCCTCCAAAGAAAATAACATACAACACATGAAAAAATTTCGAGGCATTGCCCTGAGATGCTAATTAGCACACAAAAGGGGGTCGGGAAGGCAAGAACTTATTAAGTGGTACAAAAATGAAGTGCACAAGAGAGGTGCAAAAGTGCCTTTTAAAAGTGTGGTTGGTTCCCACCACCACCATCCTCTCCCCTCCCCCCCAGAATCAAGAACACACATAGTCTATTATGATGTATACTTCCTTTTTTACAATGAAAAATTATATATTGTATGGCAATGCTGACTCATGTGGAAAAGATTTAGTCTTCTCAGAGAACACTTAATATAGTTTTCTCTCACTTCCAAGCTTCATTTTCAGTACTAATAATGTTAACAAGGAATATCTTAACCTCTTTCTATTTAAAAATTCTCAAACCCCCCCCCACCAACCTCTAAGTATGCTATTATGGTCTGAAATATAGCTTTTCATCACATATTTTTTACTTGTGATTTAACAATTTTGCATCTCAAAATCTAATTCAAGGTTTTGAAATTTCTAGAATTAAAAAATTCAGTCTACTTTAAAAATTAAGGAGTTGTCTTCTTATACTAGGAATTTAGTTTTCAGCACTAGCAGGTCTAGTAACCACTCTACACTAGAAGCACTGGTATCTACTGAATGCACACTGAGATGCTTGCAAAGCCATAAGAGAACATTGTCATACTTCGCACTCTACCACAGATTTAGACACTGAGCATTTATTTGTAAGTTTGGAATTGGTTCTGTAATTCCAACTGTTAGGAATTTCTAAATATAAATAGTACTTGTTTTTCTTCATTCATGCTGGATTGAGATATAAATTAAATACAATTAAATTACATTGAAATCTCCTCACAAATAAGAGGGATAACGAAAAGGTTTTGCTGGTATGTAACTACTTAAATCTGAGACATTTCACATTACTTTGCCCACTACTCCCCTAACTTTACATTAGTTTTTAAGGCTATATATACAAATATGTATATTTCCAAGTTAGGGAAAAAACAAATATAACAGAACTGATTATACTACCTTTTATACAGAGTTTCGATTTTGTATTCAATGCTGTATTGTAATCTTACATGTTAATAGTTTTCTAGTGGAGAATCTGCCTACTGAATGATTAAATTACACGTCAATAAATACAATATCCAACCTAGACAGACAAAAATACAGAAGGGCACAAAACAGTAGTCTTTTCTGAGTGACAGATTTAAAAACTTACTTTCACATGCTTAGAGGAATTTAAGCCTAAATTAGATTAGGTTATTTTTATATCTACAATTCTTTAAGCTTTGAAAGTTATTTTTAAAGGCCAACAGCTAAATATTAGCAACATGCTATATTTCAAATCACAAATACATCTTAACTACTTGGATTCTAAAGACATGGACCAGTGAAGAATCACAGGCAAGCACACGCTCACAAACACAAAGGCGCGCGCACACACACATACCTACACACACCCCTACTATAGAGTGTTAGATTGTCAAGCTCTGACAATTATTTTAATGAAACAGTAGGCAAATTGAAGCTGAACCACATCTTAATGAAAAATAAGCAGCCAGAAAGAAATCCATTAAAAAACAGATTAAGAAACAACAGAGACTTAAATCTTGTAGTCTTTCTAATGGAAGGGAAACAGTTTCCATCTGTGCCTTGCAGTACAGTAACAGTATTTCCCAATAAAAGAGACTAACATCTTTCCCCATGAGAAACTTCTCATTTACAATGGCATGATGTTTTGAAAGGGTGGGGTAAAGGAGGAATTACACATACATGATTAAATTTCTTGTTTGTTAAATCAAGCTTTATTGATAAAATGGAATTCAGAATACCTTACTAGGAACAGCAGCAGGCCCAGCCAATCATGATAGCAAAAACGTGGCAGTCTCCTACTATATGTAGGAAGCTGCTGCTTATCAATTAGTCATTCAACGTAAGGACTTGTAAAAGAGGTGCAAAGAATCAAGGCATTTTAGCCCCAAGATTGATATTCTTATGAATATACTGTATTACCTGCAATACTCCTGGCAACAAGGCAAGAACAACCTAAAAGACAGTTAAAGGAAGGGACCAGCTTTATCAACAGTGCCAACCTCACTGCCAAGATAGTTTTCAGTTAACTCCCTGCATATTGGGCTTCGTAAGATTTTGGAATTACTCTCCATAATCGTGTGCACATTTGAGCGTGTAGCTGACATGGCTGCTGCTCTCCCCGTCCCAACCCCAAGTCCAAACACGACATGACTTGAAAGGGCTATATATCTGTTGCATCACACAACAAGCCAAACATTTTTTTGTAACTTTGATAGTGATTTAAAGCAGTTCATAATTAAATATGAGCATTTTGTACAAGGACAATTACACTTTACAAAAAACAAAATCATACAACAAAAATTGCTGGAGTCTGATTTACAACATGAATTATGGTTTGAAATCACGTTTACAGAAGTCTCAAATTTACAAAAAAACAAAAAACAAAAAAACAAAAAAAACCAGTCCTGGGCTAGCTGTTGTACGGCTGAAGCTCTCTGGTGTGATCCACTCTCACCCATGTCACATGTCCTTCTTTAAAGTTGAGGATGGATGTTTAAAAGGTTCAAGGAAGTTGAGCTGTACTCTCCTTTGGAGGTGAAGGTAAACTCCATGGCTAGATGAGCAGTTTTACCACATGTCATCAGTTGATGTAGAGTCCTTCATAAAAGGAAACAAAGCAAAACAAGGAACTACATTAAAGCTGAGAGATGCCAACATATTACTTTCTGGATAATGCAGAAAGATAGGGTTTTGTAAAGCTGACATTTAGACTAACGCTTTTTATAGCATAGAAGTAAGTGTATGTGTGTAAATGAAATATCAGTATTCAATTTGTTAAAAAAAAAGTTAACCCTTTGTTTTGTTTTGAATGAAATATCTGAAATACCATTTTACCATGATGTTGACCAAATGTATTTCTAAACCAGTATAATTGCTAAAAAAATTTATTTTCAATTAAAACCTAACTTTTTTTTAGAACACTACTTGTATAAACTTTTATTACATAAGAAGAAATTAAGGCTTCAAGTAATGTGAGATCTGAGGATTCATAATGCAATATATATCTCAGAGCCGTGCCCAAATGATTTTAAGTTCCCACTTTTCTGTAAACACCAATACTACAACAGAATTCTAACAGGAAATTCAACTGCAGAATATGACATTCTAATGTCTTTTTATATAAGTAGAATTCTCTATGTTAGGATCTAAATGAAGTATATACTCCATGGTTCTCAGCAAAGGTATTTCCAAACATAAAAACTATTTAGTGGAGCTGCGCATTCTGAAGTTCTGTTGCAGCTGCTTATAAAACTCAGAATAATTCAAGATTCTGAGCAGAGCTATTATTCCCAACTTTAAAAAATCATTTAGTGGAGGTAAATCTTTTGAAGCTGATTGCTTGTAGAGGCTTAAAAAAACAAAAATAATTCAAAAGGACTTTCTTCTTTTTTGAGAGAGGTGGCCACTCACCATGATTATGTCCTCAATCACTAGAACTGTGGTGCAGCCAGAATTCAGAGCAATCAATCAGGGGTGTGTGTAAGAGAATGGGTACACTGAACAGCTCTGCAAAAACAGGTAGGAAGGATATGCATTTAGAGTGGAGGGGAAGGGAAAGTAGACAGAGCCAAAATGCTACTTACAGTGTCATCATTTTTGTAAGGATTCAGTCTATTGTAAACGGCTTCAATTACATTCCGCCTAAATTTAAAGAAATGCAGAAAGTTAATTCTTTAGAGCACAAAACTGTTTAATACTTCACAGTTAGGTGCTCATTAAAATGTCAAAGATAATCTTATACTTAGAAATTATTTTAATTCTATTTCTTACTATCAATAAGTGATCCTCACTTTAAGACATTTGAGCCCCAATGATAACTAGAGGTGAATTTACTCTAAAATGTAACATTCCACCAACCCAATTACTAGAAGAAGACTAAGTCATGGTTTAAAAAAAAAAAAAAAGCAGTCTACTTCATTTATATATTGTCTATTTCATTTGAACTGGCTTCTGTGGTTATGAGTCAGCAATGACAATGCAGTTTTAAGATATAACACTAACATTCTGGTTAAGAGTTCAATGTTAGTTTTGAAGTAGAAGTAACTTCAACATCTGCTGCAGTAAAATAATTTAAATAAAATTTACATTTAAATTTCAGCTTTTTGTAATACCCCTTTTAAAAGGCTCGATTTTAAAGCTGAAATTTCCCTGTCAAGTACAGGATCTTATTGAATAACATTTTGTTAAAAAATCTGTAATGGTATTTATAAGTTATAGCCTCCGTACTTCCAAAACTGACTTGAAGCAGTTTAATAGTCATTTCACAGAAAAGTCATATTGGAAGAAAAGGTTTCTAAGAAAAGCTTCAAATAGGAATTTCTACAATTACTAGTTAGAGAAATGATTATAAAGAACATGGCTACATTTACAGAACACAGTAGAGAATGAAGGAAATTGTCTAATATCTTTGTAGGTCAATTATGTGGATATCATATAGAGGTAAAACTGTTTGAATTATAAAATTTCTTAAAGTCTCCACTTAAGTTTATAAAGATGTAAGCTTAATATCTGACACAAATTAGTCCAGTTCTATGAACTGAAGTTCACATAGAAAAAAGCAAGAAATGCATCCTCCTATCTTCCCTCACAACAAAATCCAACCAACTAGGAATCAGTAACCGAAAACAGTGGGAAAATCAGAGATGTAGAAAAATGGCTCAGATGGAAGAAGAGAAAGATGTTCATCCCTGGGGTGATAAATTATCCAGGGATTGACAAAATCAAATTATAATGTAATAAAAATGTAATAAATGTAATAATAATAAAAATGACAATTAGAATTTTGTAGTGCTATATAATTTAGTTTAAAAAATTCTTTCACTATTTAATGCTATCAGGCAATCAATGTAACCCAAGCCTCCACTAAAGACAGCCTTCAGTACAGTCAGTTACAATGACATTCTGACATCTATCCTAAACACACGGCATTTTATCATTAATAATGAAAAACAATGAATCACAGGCTAAACATTTGAAGATACAGGTAATTGCATCACTTTAGCCATTAGGTAAGTATACATCTGATCAATGAACACCTAACATTTTTATGTACTGAGATAAATTTTAACAGGATGCAGAATATAACTTACTTGCTTGCCAATTCACCCCCCGGTGGGAGGCTGGGGATGTTCTCACTTGCTAATGTGCGCATCACATGGACTAAGTCAGGGACGCCTTCCCCCTGCTTCTTTATGATTTCTGGGAATCAGAAGTACTTTTTTTGTAAGTGTTATCCAAATTTAATTTAAAAAAAAAAACTGAAACAAAGATAACTTAGGTTTTTAAAGATGGCATTTACCACATCTGAGATTTTCTAAGCTGGTATTAGGAAAAAAATCAAGTTGACCTTTGAAAATTTGACAAAGGGATGCACAAAATGACACAAAAAAATGAGATACTTTCCAGATTAATTTCAAAGAATGAAAATAAACAAGATAAAAATGTGGAAAAATGTCATGTTAAAATCAGTATATTACATAATCAAGGATATGGGTATATGAATGAGAATATTCTTAAGATGCCAACTAGTTACTTCTGAGGAGGTCAACTCCTCTCTTCAGACTGGAAACATGTTTCCTGAATTTTGCACAGTTTTAAAAAAAAATAACCAACATCAAAATTTGAAAGGGGAAAAAAACCTTTTAAATATAATGTAATTTACTGATCATATACTAACCCAAATCATTTTTACGTATCTTTGTATTTGCAAAATGATATGTAAGTAGCATGTGCAGGTTAGGTTATATAACTGAATACCACTCACAGCTTAATTTTTGTCTGAAGATCTTTAAGCAGTAAACAGCTATGTAATACCATTTCCTTAGTTGGTTATTTGAACAGGGCATATGGAATGGAAAAAAATCTAAATTTCATGATAAATTTTTACAAAGAAAAAATTCAAAAAACCATACAACTGTATTTAAAATTGTTAATTTCAAAACATCCAGTTACAAAATGGGTCAGTGATATGATCTGCAGTGTTGCCATGTAGATGCATACTGTTATTCATACCACAGAATACCAACAATTATGTACAAACAACTTAAAGAATTCTCAAACTATCAAGTATAAGAAGTCTTTTCTTGGAGTTATTTATTCTAAATGCAAGGTCATACTAAAGGTATTTGTAAATTAAAAGTTCAAGTTTTGCTCAATTATCTGTTTTTAAATGTTTATACTAAGACATTTTCTTTGTCATCATTAGGGCAATAAAATTATCATTCTAGTTCTCAATTTGTAAATACCTTTGAAAATCACAATGCATATAAAGATCTTCCATCCTTTAGATCAAGTCTCAAAATATCAATTCCTCATTAAGGCCACATTATATTAAAAAACAGACACTGCTACTCATATTTCTTTAAATGGCTCAAATTGTCCTTTTGGAATTAAGGCCAAATTTCACCATGTATTATTTTTTTGCCTTTTTTTTTTTTAAACCAGTCTTAAATCTGAACAAAAAGCAAGGATCTCAGATTTGGTTTGCCAAGTTCCTTTATTGTATAATCTTTAACAGCTAGTATTCTACATGGTTCTAATGCTGGAAATCTGCTGTACAAAAATAAAGGGTTTTGATGTTTACCTATGCTGCACAATTTCACAATCTAAAGCTGTAATACACTTAACATACAGTCTCTGCTAAGCCAATACAATTATTGGATAGATAACTAAATACAATAGAAATGAACACTGATGATAAATTCAAGCAATGATAGTTTCAGGTCTAAAAAACATTACCTTAATTCACCTATATTTGATGTATCTTACATCTCCTTTGTTAAAATATTGGGGTATTTTAATTGTGAAGAAAATTACAGGAAGACAAATTCTTTAAAAAAAATAATGTAAGGCTTTAAAAACAGTTAATAACTCCTATTCCACATGGGACAATACATTTAAACTATCTTACCATTAATGCTACACTAGCATTGCTTCTGCTTTTAAAAAGGAAAACAAAATGAAATATTCCTTCACTTGCTCTTGGACTATACATTTTAAATAGAATTGTAAAAAGATTGAATGCTTTTACTAAAGAATATATATATATGTATAGAAGATATGTTTCTCATACTAACATATAAACACATTCTGCTCTTCCCCACTTCCCTCCACACCAAGTCTGAGGGATCCTAGCAGTCATCTCCAAATTAACAACTTTAAAGCTTGGGCAGTCAGCAGAAAAGATTTAAAAAGTACAAGAACAATCTTAAATTGGCTTAGAAAGACCACAAACTTAAGTGATATAGTTTAAATTATGAGCTGAGTCTTTTTATCGCAACCCTAGAGAGAGTCAAGTATTTGGAAGGGCACAGGTAATAGGAGCGCTGAAAAGGCTTTCCTTTGATGGTGTGGACAGAGAAGCCAAAAGTATGCAAAATAAATAAAATGAGGTTTAGTAGGTCACAGCAATTTTGAAGACATGTATTTAAAGAAATAAAGAAAAAAAAAGAAAAAAATATTCAGTGCCTGTTTTAGAAGCTGAATGCAGTACTTTTTACTTAGAACAACTTTTGCAATATAGTTACATTCTATGTTTTAAAATATAGTAGCAATTTTAATTAATTTATCCTCTAGTTGCAGTCTTATCAAACCTACCTCAATAAAGAATAATTCATCAATAAAGAATATGAAACTTGATTTGTAACATAGTAATCTCAAATTGAATGATACAAGTATAATACTTCAACATATCAAAAATACTGAGTATTGATGTAAACTGTTCAGGTGGTAATTCTTCCTTGATAAAAAGCAATAAAAAAACTTAATATTATAACATAAAATTATGTATATAAAGCAATTATTTAGAATTGCACCAAAAACTTAAGAGTGCACACAATAGAAAAACGTTTTAATTCATTTCTAAAAACGTGATCCTATTTCATAGTAAATGAAACGGAAGTACTTATTCTTTAAATCAGTAAGAAAACATGTACACCCAAATTACTTAAAAGTGCCAATAAATCAAATACCAATTTATCCCAATACATATTCTTATGGTTTCATTTTTCACTAGCCAGCAGTTTGAACCAATGTGATATAACTTGGTAGCATTCTAAATATTTTATTTTACTGTATTATATATATAAATAACATTTCAAAATGATTCATTTAAAATATAAGAATTCCAAGAGCCTTAGGTAATAGTGAGAAAACAAACCCATTGAATAGTATGTCCAATGAATGAAATACTAAATAGTACATACATATACTAGATATATCACTATCAAGTGGGGAAAGAGATAAAAACAAAATAGCAGCTCTAGATAGTACTGAAAATCAAAACCAATCATGATTCTAATAGCAGACTGATTATAATTGATATCAAACAGTAAAAAGGGAGAAAACAAAATTAAAGTGCATATTAATTTTAAATAATGTAGGCACAGCGGAATATAATAGTGTGTAGGTCAACGCTTACATGCTATTAGATCTTTAACGTGCAAATTCATGACATTAGGAGCCAAAAATGCATTTTAACGCTATCATAGGCATGTCAAGTTTTTCTGCTTAAAGAAACTGCAAATCTTGCAAATCTATATGCTTATTGCATATATGTAGCAAAATGGAATTCTCTGGGGAGATCTTAGCATTATAAGCAGTAGCTGCATATAAGGTCATTTATATTTTTTCAAATATTTAAAGGCATTACACTTGAGAGTTACAAACATCTTTCTAATTGTCTCAAAGTAATTTGCAGAATTAAGACAAACATATTTCTGGAATTCCCAACTTAGTTTTGCTTTTATTCAGCATTTATATTTCTGCCAAGTAGACACCTAGTATATCTTCTATTCAGGTCTATGTTGTCTTGGTGAGGAAATTTATGGCTTAGGCAAGAAGACTTGAAACAGTTTAAAATATATTTGTAAAAGCTGTGGCATATGAAAGTTTCTAATAACCAGGCTGTGATCTTCAAGTTATTTAAAAAAAAAAAAAGTCCTAAAGATCTTAAATCCGTATACATAACTTTACACAGAAAGATGGTATTCAAATTATCACCATCATAAATAATCTACTTATAATTAAATAAACCACATATCAGACTTTCCTGGCATAAAATTACTCATGCCAGTGAATTCATCAAGAATTTCAAAGCATACAAACACTTTTTTAGCCTTTTTAAACAAAAGTATCCTGAACAGAATGTACAGGGTCACACTAGTTCTTATTTCTAATAGAACTGTAATAGGACAATCAAAAGCATCTGAACAGTTACTACAGAAATGCCCTTTCCCACTTTTGTACACTAAACACTAGATGTCAAAGGCATGTAAAGATCTAAAAGCTAAAATATTAAAGTTTGATTGTGTTGAGGTTTTTCTTTAATTAAAGCTACTTATTTTTTGTTAAATGATCCACCTTCTACTCTGCTTTCCAGGTACTTGTCCAATTCTGCCTCCTTCTTCACTGCTTCTGGTGATACTTTGGGGGCATTTGGAAAACAGATCAATATCACACTCATGTTGTCTCGACTTCCCTGGGAAGAAAAAAGTTTGAGAAATATTATAATCTTTTGTCTGGCTCTTTAAAGCCTTGAGAACTTTTACAGCCATGACACTTTTAATTATACTTGCTCTAACATATATACATACATATATATATACACTTATATTTCATGGAGAAAAAATATGCATATGTAGAGAGGCACACCCCTGTACACATATACTACATATGGTATACGGTATAACTAACACTCCAAAAGACAGGAGAAACACTACAGGTTAACCTCCACTACAGAAATCATTTTTTTTAATGCTATACAGCAAAAAGATTTCTGAACATTTTACTGGTGGCCTACTTAATTTGAAGTGATACCTAATAAAAATACACAAACATACACACACACACACACACACACTCATTCAACAAAACTGAAAATTCTAGTGGCATTCCTTACAAGAGGATTTGACCTATACTTACATGTATACTTGAAACACTTATATTTAAACTAATTTGCTTCATAATAAATAGAAACATGGAATTAGAAGTAAAGCTATATATATAATTTAAACATTTTTAAAATTTTAATAATTTAAAAAAATTAACTTTTAGGAAATATATTTATTTTTAAAGATACCTAGGTATGATTAAAATACCTGAATCAATGTTAGCATCCCTAATATTCCTCTCTCTCTTAGGAACTGGAGTTAACTTTTACATCTTAAGTATCTGATTCCTCAATATGGGAGAACTGACCTTATGCCATTAGTTTAAGTAAACCAAGGAATTTAATATTAAAAAGAATCTTGGATAAAAACAGTATAAAATACGGCAGATGATAAGGTACTGAATAATTTTTAAAATGGAGAATGCAGAAGAGATAAAGTGTTAGATGAGTCCTAATTTACTAGTGTCTGAATGTTACAATTCTCTCAAGAAAATAGCATTTAATTTAGCCAGTGACTATCTAATTCTCAAGAGTTCCAGAATTAAGACCAACAAATGGATACTACTCTTATGCATACTATAAGGGACAAAGAACATATGCATCACTGTTCAGGTCTCCTCAAATTCAGAAATCAGTAGTGTGCACTAGTAAGTTGCTGCTCTATTTGTTGTTGTTGTTGTTTTTTTTTTTTTTTACATATCTGCTGGATATTACATAAACTTGATTTGTGTTGGATGTTACATAAATCTGATTTCTAAGTATGATCAGATTTTAATTAAGATTTTAAGTAGAGCTGGCAGTATGCTTATAAAACTACAGAGAACATAAAGATGGCTTTCTATTTCTACATGTTAAAAGAAAATCAAATATGTTGCCTCAGAAGTTTTATAAAATCAACATTTGTTAAAGAAAAAGAAAAAAATTACTAACAAAAAATTTAATTCCTCAGCAGTCCTATAAGTTAGATACTATGAATCTCTACTCAATAGCTGAGAGAGGCTGAACAACTGGTCCAAGACGATGGAGTACAAAAGTGACAGAGGTAAGCCTGACTCAAGGCCTGACTCAGGTGGGCTCCCTCTTGCTCAGCTTCCTCCTCTGTAAAATAAAGGGGCTGAGCTGGCTCATCTACGATATGATCCCCTTTGATAATCCCAACAACCCCATGAGACAGGGTGATAGTATCTCTTACCTTTTTTACAGTTAAAGAAACTGATTTTCCAGAAAGCTGAAATAGCTTACCTGAAGTCATACACAGTCTTACACCAAGTTCTTCTGACTCCGCGTTCAAGGCTATTTTTATCATATCATGCCAATTAATCACTAAACTTTCTTTGTTAGTGCTACAGATTCATTAGACTATAGTCTCAAAGTACTTCCATGAATGTAAGGCAATATCACATGATAAAAATAAATTATTAAAATTCTAAAATGCTTTTTATTCATTAGACACAGGGGCCTAACCCTCCCCCCCCCATGCCTTTCCTTTTAAGACACACACCATGATATACTCTTTCTGCCTTTGATAATCTTCTACAATATTAAAAAGCTGAGGTAGTCATGGTTACTAAAAGACCATTCAGATTATAACTCTTGCATATTTAGTAATTGGATAATTTCTAAAAATGTTTCCTAAATGTTCATAATTGGTAAAGAGTATCCTACAATTTTGTGCCCAAAACTCATTTCTGAGAACTAGTTTCTAAAATGATTAAATACGAGAGTAATAATTAAGATGACATAAAATCATTTTTATCTTTTAAAATAAAGTCTAGCTACCTTATACAAACAGGTGTCGACTACTTCATTGCAAACTTTCTCAAGGTCATCAGTGACTTCAAGTCTGGATCTTACAAAATCACAGAGCTCTTCATTTCCCATAACATCCCAAATACCATCACATGCAAGGATAATGAACTGATCATCTTCTTCAGATCTTTCAATATCATGGACTTCAGGCTCTGGTGAGACAAGCTGCTCTGTAGGACCTTTTCCATGGACACATTTGTAATCAAAGTCCCCAAGGGCCCTCGATACAGCCAGAGAGCCATTCACACGCTGAATCATTACAGAACCACCTGCATTCTGAATTCGTTCTTTTTCCAGCGGATTACTTGGTTTGTGATCTTGTGTGAAGAAGTGAACTTTCCTGTTTCTACAAAGTAAACCTCTCGAGTCTCCACAGTTAATGAAATAAGTATGTTGAGGAGAAATTAAGACACCCACAGCTGTTGACCCACTTCTATCTGCACCATGTTTCTTCTCTGACATAACTCTCATGTGTTCATCAATCTCCAGAAAACCTGTTCTGATTCCATTCTTTACATTTTCCACAGAAGGTGCTCCTGCAGACCCTTTAAAATCCTGGTTATTGGTGATGTGATCTAACAAATGCTCACAGCAGTATTTGGCAACCTGAGAACCAGCATGCCCATCATACACAGCAAAGAATGACCAGGTTTCAAGTCCACTTGGCAAACCGATCACAGCCGTATGTGCATCCTCCATTTCAACTCGCCAACCTTGCATGCTGCTTAGCCCATATCGCAACCCATTACCCTGCCCCTGGGCATTATGTTTTTCCATCTTTGGTTTGTCTAAAAATGCTCCCATTATGTCTTGATATTCTAGGTCTGCAAAGGAAGAGAAACAGAAAAGTTAATAACTATCTTATATATAAAATACATTTCCAACATCCTTTTTAAGAGTGAAAGAAATATAAAGAAAGCTTTAAATAAGAAATCACAACTCAGGGGCAGTCGGTTAAGCATCAGCTCATGATCCTGGGATTGAACCCCATGTCATCTGGCTCCCCACTCAGTGGGAAGCGGACTTCTCCCTCCCTTACCCCTCCCACCACTCATGCTCACATGCTCTCTCTCATTCTCTCTCAAATAAATAAAAATCTTTAAAAAAAAAAAATCACAACTCTTATAAGCAGACACTTATCGTGTTGCTGACTTAGAACCTAGAGATTAACAAGAAAGAATTGGGAGAGAGGTTGATCAGGCACAGCTTAGAATGAACAACAGGCAGAGGGAACTAAGACATCAAGATAAAAGTAGCTGACATGCCACTTCCCCACCAGAAACAACCACCTGAGGTAGAAAGGAGACTGGCAGTGGTTATCAGTTTCCATGAACCAGGACAAGTGTTTTAGGATGCAATGAACAGGTGAATCTCTCTCTCAGACCTAAATTGTATGTGTATGTTAATCAAGAAAAAGCCAAATGAATTCACAACATACCAAAAGCCTACTAATTCAAAGCATCTTGGTTGATTATTTAGGATTTTCTAGTTTTATTCTCAACTACCTACAGTTTTGTTCCTAATATATGAACTCTCTGAAAAAGTAAAAAAATGATCTACTCACAATGATCCAAATTTGCACACTCATTCCTTTAAGTGTCTGCTCATATCAATCCCCTTAACTGGAAACCCTTACCCCCCTCCCTACTTAAAGAAAAAAGTGTATCCATCTTGCAAAATCTAGTTCAAATTCTACCTTTTCCAAAGGTTTTTCAGTCTTTGAAAAAGCTATTAGTTATTAAATTACAATAAGGAGTACAACCTCAACTGCCAAAGTGCAAAGCAATTATATATGCACACAACAAAGCTTTTTATATATAACAAAATCAACCTATTGTGATCTACTGTTCTATCAACTTAGCAGTAATCACATGTATCATTATTATTATATTCTATGACCATTAGGTATAAACAGTAAAGGAGATTAGAGGGTCTAGGAACAGCCACGTGGACAAGCCGGAAAGCTGAGCTATCTAATCCTTTCCCAATAATCAAAAGCTAAAAATTCTGGTCTGAAATGGGCCCATACAACACAGAGAGACAGCTGGTTAAAATTTAGGTTGACCTTTACTTGAGTAATAGCCTAGGAATGTAGAGACATGGGATCAAAGTCATCAAATAAGTCACAACTGAACTCAAACCAATCTAAAAGAAGGACAGAATTAAATTTAATGGAGGTAAAATGGTGAGGGGAAGTATGGGTAGGTAAAAGTACCTAGATAAATCAGGATGCAGTTATGAGACTAAGGGATTGATGATGCTAGTGATGCTAAGCTTTGAGAAGAAGTTGGGAGAAAAAGGGTAAGAAAAACTCCTTAGGAAGGTAATAGTTTCCCAGTAACCTTTTCCCCCTTCTTTTCCTACCAGGGCCAAACTAATACACAAGAGAGAAGTCTGGCTGATTGGTGTGATAAAACAATCTCCTGCCTACTCCTCTGTCCCCCAGTACAATTCCACTAATGAAGGTAAATAATGAAAACTAGCCATCATTCTTTATGAGGGTAAAATCTAATCTTTATGATTAGATTACCAGATATCAAGTTGGTATACATTATTATGATAAGAGTGAGTGCTTTGATTGGACAAAGGATAACATAATGATGATATCTTAATAGCAGACAATATTTAAGAATAATTCTAAATCATTCATTCATTCTCAACAACCCTCTAAAGTGGGTAATAATATATCTTCAATTTATAGATGAATCTTAGTAAGACAAAAGAACTTGGCCAAGGTTACTCAACTGGTAAGTTTAGAGGAATCAGGACTCTAATTCAAGTACCATTTACTACTAAGACAATGGTCTTGATCATGGATATACAAAAGAATTATTTGTGGACTTTTCAAAAAATTATAATTAACAAATCGGAATTTCCAGGATAGGGTTGGAACCTAGGCATCTGTGCATCTGTAGAAAAGATTAGATGGGATGCCCAGATAGATAAATAGCTAGATGATGACTGAGCCATCATGAAGTTAAGTCATCTGCTGAAGGTCAAAAGCAATTTGCCTCATCTCTGTACCTCAATACCTTTAGCTAGGCTAAAGGAGAGGAGAGAGATACACTTAAGATGCTTGATATCTACTAATATAGCATTCCTTATCTGTACAACGAACATACTTATACTTACCTCTGAATGTTGCTTCAAGGTTTAAATGAGGTAGGCAAAAATAAGGCACTCAGCAAACAAACTAATTATTACTACATTTCTACACACATAGTCACAGCTGGATTCTGATATTACCTAATAGGGAACTTATTATTTTCTTTTGCAGAAAAGTCCAGTAGCTATTTTCCAGATATATATATAAAACTATCAAATAAATAATTCTTTGAAGATAAACAGGGTAAAATTCCTAAAAACAAAACCCAAACTTTGAAAAAATGTATTAGAAATGTAAATACGTAACAAACCAAGTCAACCATCTGATAAAATTTTAGGTACAGGTCCATAGCAAATATAAAAATCTACATACATCAAGGACAAATTAATAATTTTGTGGTTGAACTTTCACAAAGTGAAAATAGACAATTCAGAAATCTTACCTCCTGGGATTCTGAGTAATTTGTAGAATCCAAGTGAAGCAGCCAACAATAGCTACATAAATATAGCAGATGGTTATGCAAATACAACACTTACCAGAAACTACTTACTTATAAATACTATGTTTACATAGTCATCTTCCAGAAGTGGACTACTAATTATATAGTCAAATTATTAAGTTGGCATATATCTATAAATAGTAAATCCAAGGAGATTCAATTTGCCCATGAAAGCTTAAGCTAGTTTCTAAGAGAAATTCTAGAGTTGCTTCGTCTTAAATCTACTCTGAGCACATGCTGGATGGATCTCACCACAACACTAGCTTATCAGTTGATATGAACTTTTCAAAACAAAGTACTATGACAATCACAAGACTGAATTCATCTTTGATATAATCAGAAAATTTAGTGAACGCTTTTTGTCTTTGAAAACCAAACTAACTCCTAAATTGAAAAATTCTAAGGTTGGGCCAGGAAGTCATTCATTAAAGTTCATTCACAGGTTTTTATTAAGCAAAATTGATCCCATAATCATAGCAAAAAATCTTAAACCTTGTCATTTGGTTTAATCTGCTCAAATATCCTGCCCCCCCCCGCCCCATAAAAGCTCTATATAGTCAACTGTTAAGATCCTTAAGTGACATATTAGCCCCAAAACAAGAATCATTCAAGTAACAGTTTGAGCAGTCTCTTAGCAAAAAAACTGAGGAGTAAAACCATACAAGGTCTTTCTCTGTTTACCTATGGGGACACAGTCTAATACAGAACCCCTCCAGGCTCCCTAAACAAAGAACAAAATAGACATATGTAAACAATGTAGAGAAATTATATTCTAAAGACTAGGGGGAATTAAGAGGGGGATAAAAAACTATGTATGAGAGACTAGGAGCTCCTTGGGGAAAGAGGGAAAAAAATGGAACTAGCAGTATAGGTGGCAGTGTACATAATATGGCAAAATTCAAGTCATGTGCAGTAGGCTGTGGGATATAAACTCTTTACTACTACCAAATGTTTATTCTACACTGCCCACTAATGCTTATATATGAACAGACTTGGTCTTTATGTGACTCCTTCTTCTCTAGCTACCTGCCTTTCCCTTCCCTTTGTGATTCAACTTCTTAAAAATAAGTGTTGATGCTCCACATTGTTGCCCGGCTATTCCACCAAATGAGCTCCTCCAAATTGCTTAATCCAATGAACGTTTTTAGTCCTGATTTCACTGACTCTTACAACAGCATTCGATACTCCCTCTTCCAACTTCCCACTGGCTTTTCAAGATGTTACACACACTCCACTTTCCTCCTGCCCTTAGCTTTTCCATTCTTGTTCCTTTTGCAGGCCCATCTTCATCTTCCAAGCCATTAATATTGACATTCAAGACTTAGACCTAAGCCCTTTTCTCACTTTATGCTGGCGTCTGAACTACTACTATTCATGTGTATGAAGGAAAGGGAACCAGATGATATTTTAAGATACACAAGGATCAAAGTATACACTCATACTTTTTAAATGAGAAATCCAGCCAAGCAAATATCTACTCACTGTGTTTTAAAACTATGTTCATCTCTATGATGTGTCATTAGTTTCTCTTAAATAACCTGCTTCTTAAAAATCATCTAAAAAAAAAAAAACAAAACCCACATATAAAGTAAAAAGAAATTGCAAAATTGCCTACTTATCCAAATTACTACTAAGGAGACCCCCATTTTATGTCTATAAATGGAAATAGCTTTTATAAGATTAAACTTAAAAGTTATAGATGCATCCAATATGTGACTTTAGACAAATCCTTTAGCTTAATTTCTAACTCTGTTCATTGATAAACAACCCTGATTAACCATTTTCAGAACAATTACCTTGTTCTGAGAAATGTTGAAATGAGAAGCCTAAAGTTCTAAGAATACCTAGGTAAATGGCATTAGTAAATACTATTTCAGTCTAAAATCATGCTGATGAATTCCATTAAAATTTTTTTATTCCCAATACTAAATATTATGAGATAAAATTATTTTACAACAGAAAAATCAACTTACAGAGAATGAAAAAAGAAAAAAACAGCTACCAACTAGGACTACAAACTGGTAGCCTGAATTTGATCTTCACATATATTGTTAGCCCCTGCCCCTGAACATGTGTTCTCCAGAGTTCCTACTACTCCTCCTTATTGACCACATGGCATGTGAGCTTACATCATTTGATAAAGAGGACAATGCTTGTGACTGTAACAGCATTCAATCCATAAGGATTTACTCTAATCTGATTTTTCATGAAGTGGCTACCTCATCTCAGAGAAGCAAAACAGAATGATACTTGTAATTAGCTGAATAATGGCTTCAAAGGTACCAGGTCTCAATCCCATAAATGTTACCTCATTTGGAAAGAGTCTTTGCAGGCATGATTAGTAAGAAACTTGGAATAGGGAGATTATTTTGGATTATACTGAGGCCCCTAAATGCAATCAGAAGTGTCCGTATAAAGAGGCAAAGCAAGAATTGTCACAGAGGAGAAATGATGTGAAGAGATTTGAAGATGCTGGCCTTGAAGATTACAAGAGATATATGGCTACAATCCAAGGAATGCTGCATTCTTCCCTAAGGCCTCCAGAGTGAACACATTCCTGCCAACACTTTTGGAATGATGCCCTCTAGAATGGTAGGTAAGAGAATGAATATGTATGACAATAAGAAACTGGAGTATAAAAGTATTAATAGGGCTAAGGAAAGAATTTAAGAGATAAAAATTATTGTAATATTTTAAATGGCATGTAAAACAATAATGAGCAAAGAACCTAGAGAAAACAATCTGCAAGGGGTAAAATTCAAAGTAAGAGAAAACTCACCCTGTATGCAGTTAAGAATAAAGAGATAGAAGTAGGTTAAGGATACAAACAATGCAGATCCAACAATTTACTTAGTATACTGTAAAAAGAAAATCAAATAATGGAGAAGAAATAAAACTTTAGAGAAAAAAGAAATTAATCCTAAACTGAGGGAAAATTTGAATTGATGATTGAAAGTGTTCATCAAGTAGTAATTTTAATAGAAAATAACCAACACCAAAGTATAGTTTGATAATGAATTTTAAGAATACAAGAACTCAAATGAAACAGTCCAAAAAAATAAAAAATAAAAAAAACAAAAATAAAATCAGGTTGGGCTCAAACTTTTGTCACAATATGCAATAATGAAGTAATGCCTAAAAATGTTGAGAGTAAAGGAGGATAGTCCCAGAATTCCACACCCAGCAAAGGTGGCATTTATATGTGAAGAACAGAAAAGTTATTATCAACTATGCCAGCACTAAAAAGGTATCATTCAGGGGCGCCTGGGTGGCTCAGTCAGTTGAGTGGCCAACTTTTGATGTTGGCTCAGGTCATGATCTCAGAGTCCTGGGATGGAGCTCCACATCAGGTTTCATGCTGAGGGGAGAAATCTGCTGTGGATTCTCTCTCCTTCTCCCTCTGTCTCTGCCCCTGTGTGTGCGTGCAAGTGTGCACAAGTTCACTCTCACTCAAATAAGGTCTTTAAAAACCTATTTAAAGAAAGATTAATGCCATCAAGAGATTAATCAAAACCAGAAATACAATAAATGGAGATGTTATAGTATATATAGGACTTTGGGATGGGCAGAATACACTTAAGCAAGTACAGCTGACCCCTGAAAAACATGGGTCTGATCAGCACAGGTCCACTTACTTATACGTCACTTTTTTTTTTAAATAAATGCAATATATTACTATAAATGTATTTTCCCTTTGTTATGATTTTCTTAACATTTTTTCTCTAATTTTAATATAAGAATATAGCATATAGGGGCATCTGGATGGCTCAGTGGTTGAGTGTCTGCCTTTGGCTCAGTTCGTAATCTGGGAGTCCTGGGATCAATTCCTGCATCAGGCTCCCCACAGGGAGCTTGCTCCTCCCTGTGCCTATGTCTCTGCCTTTCTCTTTTGTGTCTCTCGTGAATAAGTAATTATGGTGCTTTATTCATAGTGTCCAACGGTCAACTGTGTAACAAAAGTCAAGGGTTGTGACTTTAACTTCAGAGAAAGAAAAGCATAAGGAATAAGTCAATAAATAAGACTTTTTAAAAAAAATTGATGAGCTTGTACTCTAAAATTTTAACTTATGAATTTTATGAGCTAAATATTTTTATGTCAGATAATTCAAAACTCAAAAATACTATGTGCTAAAATTAAGACTATATTTTCTGTTCAAATATGATTGAAATATTGATTAAAAATCAAGCATTTAACTTGACTGAATATTGGAAAGCAAAAGCTTTAAAGTTTCTTAACATACTCCCACCCATCCTATCCCAGGTACCCCTCCCCCCATAAAGAAGAAAAAGAAAAAGAAAACAAATGACACAGGCCATATTATCTGACTTTAACAATAACGGTAGATGTTAAACGGTAGATGTTGGTAACAATAAAGAAAAAAGAAAACTTCAAACATCTGGAAATTACTTTCCAGCTTCTAATCAACCTTGCATTGAGTTTGTATATTTTTACAATTACAGAATATTTAGAAAAAATAATGATAAGTAAAGCCTTTTATCAGATTTTGTAAGATGTGACCAAACCTTACTCAGGAAAATTCATTTTCTTAGTAAAAAAGTGATAATCAGTATACTAAATCTCAACTGAAAAAGTAAAAAGAACAACCACTTGCATACACACAGACCTAAGGAAAGAAATACATTAAGGAATATATCAAGAAAAATTAAGGTAAACATGATATCATGAGAGAAAAATGAGTAAAAGAGATAAAACATTAGGTAGTCTGAGAAAAACTATTATTCAAAATTAGAACTCAAGCTATACTTGCCTCAGACATAGGTGCTTTGTTTTGTTTTTATAAAACACACTGTACAATTCTTTGCTAATAAAATTGAAAACGTGGAGGAAATAGACAATGTTCTGGAAAAACAAATTAACAAATTTTTTTCAAGCAGTGACAAAACAGAGATCAGTAATTCTGGAAATAAATGAGAAAGTTACCAAAGAACTAACCTTCAAAAGAACTCTAGAGCTCATGAAAAACAAAATAAAAAAAGCAGAACCACCATTCCAGGTTAAAGAAAACCACAGAGATATGACAATAAAGTGTAATATGCAATTGTGCACTGGTTTATATATATTTGTGTGTGCAAAAAGAATATGCATTGTATACACACAAAGGGAAAAAAGAAAATTTATAAAACAAATGTGGCAAAAAAATTAGTCATTCAGGTAAATACAAAAGTTCACTCTACCTTTCTTCAAATTTTCTGTAAATTTAAATTGTTTTTAAAATATAGTTATGAGGGACGCCTAGGTGGCTTGGCCTTTGAGTGTCTGCCTTCAGCTCAGGGCATGATCCTGGAGTTCTAGGGTGGAGTCCCACATTGGGCTCCCTGTGGGGAGCCTGCTTCTCCCTCTGCCTATGTCTATGCCTTCTATGTCTCTCATGAATAAATAAGTAAAATCTTTTAAAAAAATAAAGTTATGAAAAATAAGTGTATCAGACAATTTCACAACCAAGATCTTGCAAGCCTTAAAAAACATAATACTGCCCCAATTACCTAAATTACCTAGAGAAAAAAGCTTCCCAGTTCATTTTTCAAACTTACCATAATCCTGATTAAAAAATGGCAAAGACAGTACCAAAAAATAAAACTATAGTCCAAAAATATTAATATAGATACAAAAAATCCTAAGTAAAATACAAGCATATAGAACAAATCACCAAGTAGAGCTCATTTTAAGAATTTAACTATGAGCCAACATTCAGCAACCTATTAATGTCATCTTTTTTAAAAAGTTCAAAGAGAAAAAAACTACATGATCATCTCTTCATCTGATAAAATTTATTCCATAATACGGTACTATATATTTCAAGCCAAAGAGGAAGCATAGTGATTAGAACAATTCCCAGAAAAGAAGCAAACACAAGGATACCTGCTACTCTTACCCTAATACTTAGTGAGGTCTAGAAATAGAGATCAATATGGTTAAGATTTTTTAAAAAGGAATAAAATTATGAGAAGAGATCAAATTGCTATTTGCGGATAATAACTGTGTGATGGGAAACTCAAAATCTAAAACATTATTAAGAAAAAAGGTTCAGGGCAGCCCCGGTGGTGCAGCGGTTTAGCGCCGCCTGCAGCCTGGGGTGTGATCCTGGAGACCCGGGATGGAGTCCCATGTCGGGTTCCCTGCCTGGAGCCTGCTTCTCCCTCTGCCTGTGTCTCTGCCTCTCTCTTCACTCTCTCTGAATGAATAAATAAATAAATCTTTAAAAAAAAAAAAAAGGAAAAAGGTTCAGTATGGTTATCTGACTACATACAGAAAACTGTTAATAATAACCACTTAGAAAATAAAAAGATGCCAATAAAAGTATACCTAAATAAATAATCAAAGAAATATTCAGGACCTTTAAGAAGAGAGCCTCAGAATAAAAGACACTCCTCTTTCTGAGACAAGAAGATTCAATATTGCAAAGATGGTTATCCTCCCTTTATTAATCAATAAATTCAGTGTAACCACAACTGGGCCTTTTTGTTCCCAGACCTTGATGAAATGATTCCAAAATTTATATGAAAGAATAAATGTTTGAGAATAGCCAAACATTCTAAAAAAACATTAGCATTTTCCATTTCTAGTATTAATTTCAAATTATAGTATTTAAGAGGGACTACCGTTACAAGATTTATCAATATAATAGAACTGAGACTCTGGAAAGACAACTGTGAGAACAAAAATTCAATAAATGGTGTTAAAACAGCTGGCCTATTTCAATCCTTCCCTCCCTATCACACATCTTAAAATAAATACCAGGTAATTAAAGATTTAATTTTGAAGTACTATAATAAAACCATACAAATACATCTAGGTAAATATTTCTATAACCTTATAGTAGGAAAGGACTTTCTAAGTGTAACCTTTTTTTTTGGCATTGGGCAAAAGAAGACTCTAAAGGAACAAAAAGCAATTCCATAGGAATAAGACTTCTACACTATAAAACCAAACTCATAAGCTTAAAAGGCAAATATCTGTAAATAAGTATTTGCAAGATGTATGGTAAAGTTAATATTCCTAAAATAGACAAAAGTCTCTTAATAAGACAATAAAATGAGCACTTTAAAGGAAAAGAAACAAAGAACAGGCACTTCAATTTATAAAATAATACAAATGGACAATACATGGAGTAATAACCAATCTCAGTAGCCAGTAAATGCAAATTTATTTTTTATTATCAAAAATTAAAAATTATAATGTCCAGTATTGGCTAAGGAGTAAAATAAAATACGCTTCTCATAGGTAGAAGAGTAAACTGCCACCTTTCTAAAGGACATGTATCACACACATTAATATTAAATATTGACGTCCACTTAAATGGTTTTCTATATTCACACTCTGAAGTGCCCTTCTATTCCAAAAGTACTTTAAAACAAAGGGACGCGGGGTGGTTCAGCGGTTGAGTGTCTGCCTTTGGCTCAGGGCGTGATCCCGGGTCCAGGGATCGAGTTCACATAGGGCTCCCTGCAAGGAGCCTGCTTCTCCCTCTGCCTATGTTTCTGCCTCTCTCTCTCTCTCTCATGAATAAATAAATAAATCTTTAAGAAGATCAAGCCACCTGCTAAAGATAAACTCTTGTAATACAAAGCTTTTTGTGAAGCTGAAACCATGTGCCTCCCGGGTTCAACTAACAGAGATGGACAAGAGTCTACATCCTATATGAGTAGTAACAGAGATTAAAAATGCCTGGTGCAAGGCTGGCATAGTACTCAAGCTCCCTGAAACTCATGCCTGGGGTTGAGGAACTCTGTTGCCTATAAAAGGAGCTGGAAAAAAAAACTACTAACCATAACCTGGAGCTATAGTTGAGATGAAGTTAGGTGCCCAGTGAGTATAAGTATAGCTCTTCTTTTAGTCTGTCTTTTCTTGGAGAGATAAGCCTGATTCTGATGTTATCAAGAATCAGAAACCACACCTCCAATATAAGACATGGTTTCAGACTAGGCACCCCAGGGCCAAGATGTTGGCACATGCAAAAACACTGGATAAGAAGGGTGAAAACAAAGAAAACAAAACAAAAAACTTCCATTTGATATGAGAACACAAAAACAAACTCCAAAACACATGAGGAAAAAAAACTATGATAGCCAACAGCATCAATAATTGTAGGAATTCAAACTAGAAGGAAAAATAACAATCTGAAAATAACTTAAAATGTGTGTTTAGGATCCTTCCAAAGTTAAAAAAAAAAAAAAACAATAGAGGAAAAAAATTTAAAACATGAGAAATCAAACCAGAATAGGTGGCTATTAGAGAGAGAGAACCTGAAAAGGAGAAAAATATTCATTGAGGAATAAGAACAACTCTAGCTTTATAAAGTCAAGGAGTTAAGTTTGTAAATTGAAAAAATGATACTTAGGAAATGCCTAGAAAATAACACAGAAATTAAAGAGGAATACTGGTAAAACAATATTCAAAAATAAAGGGGCGCCTGACTGGCTAAGTGGGTAGAGCATGCGACTCTTGATCTCAGGGTTGTATGTTCAAATCCCATGTTGGGCATTGAGATTACTTAAAAATATAATCTTCAGAAAAAAGGACAATATAAAGGTCAAAGAATTTTCTAGAATTGAAGAAAGATATGCATATTTAGATCCACAATGTATTTCAAAGAGTACCTCCATATAGCCCAACATACACATACCTAGGCACATGGGATTGTGTTCAGGGTTGTCAAGTACAGGGGAACAAATACTAATATGCCACACTCAAAAAACAGGGCTCTGTCCTGCATATATTTTACATATATTAACATAATCATTGCTACAACTCCTATTATATTACAGATACTATCTCCTCATCTCTGTTTAGAACTCGCCCAAAGTCACACAGTAAATAGTAGTGACAGAATACAGAAAAGTAATCATTTAAAAAACTGCTATAGAGAGAAGAATTACATACAAAAGCCTAACGACTAGGTAGAAATCAGACTTCTCAGAGATCCAAGTTTCATAATGCAATGAATTATCTTGAGAGTACTAATAGGAAGGGAGTGGGGGGAACCTACTAACCAAGAATTCTTTATTTGCTAAAAAAGGAAAGTAATGTATAAAACATACTTTCAGGGAAAGATTACTAAAAGATATACATCTTAGCAAAAAGAAAGGTAAATACAGGAGTGAGGTACAACAGGTAAGGACAGTGAAATATTTGGCTGATTAAATTAGGTATGAAATATAAAAAAGAAAACTTTTTTCATGCTACCAAAAGAGGAAATAAAATTGTAGAGTTATACGGATGTTGAAGGAATGTTATTTTTAATAAAATATGAGCTCAAAGAAAAAAAAATCACAAAATATACAAGGAAACAGGTTGCCAGGAGGAGTTAACAAATATAAGATATAAAATAACCATGTGTGAAATGTTTAACAAGATTTCACACGCCAAAAAAAATAGGAAAATGAGAAGATATTATTTAAAAATTCACCAGGAAAATTGGGAAAGAATTAAATACCACTTTTGGAAATTAAGAATTAAAAATCGTTGATACTAAAATTTCAAAGGATGACAAGAGATTAGAAACAAATGCAATAAATTTAGTTCACTGAATTGAAGAAATAAAAAAAAAATTATGTTCACTTCAAAAAACCTACAGCCAAACGATAAGGGGAAAGAGGAAGGAGAAAAAAATCAAATTCTCCAACAATATTAAGTAGCATATATAGTCCACAAAAGTAGCCCTAAGAAATTTTTTGGACTTTGTATAGTGCCCCTGAAAGCCCAGGAACTATTAACTAATCTCTCTGTTGATGTCAACTCCCTAGAACATGGCTATGGTAGTAGCACAAGTCTATATATTCTAAGTCAACATTTATTCTACTGAGAGAATCAGAAAACACCAGGAAAAAAATGGTACCTTACTCTGTAAGGCACAGCTTAATCTCATTTAACTAATGCTCTTCTGGTATCTCATTTTATTTTTTAAGATTTTACTTATTTATTCATGAGAGACACAGGAGAGGCAGAGACATAGGCTGAAGTTGAGAAGCAGGCTCCCTGCTCCCTCCCTCAATACCAGGACCTGAGCCAAAGGTAGAAAGAAGCTCAACCACTGAGCCATCCAGGTGCCCTCATTTTCTTAATATACCTAAATCATAGCAATCTTTAAATTTGTACATCTTTACTTTAGAGGTACAAGTTTCCTATAGGGCCCATTAAGCTTACAGCTCATAGGGCTAAGAATATATATCATTAGTTCTCATCCAGAAGTGCTTTTTACTTTGGGTTGCTCAGTAGGTCTTCAGCTTTCCCTAAAGTTATGAAGATTTGTATAGAGCTCTTTTGAGTAGAAAGACTTGTCATACACATATAAAAATTACACACATACTTTGTAAACTTGGGTTCCAAAACTAAAAACATTCATTTAAATCAGATAACAGGGCAGCCCTGGTGGCGCAGCGGTTTAGCGCCGCCTGCAGCCCGGGGCCTGATCCTGGAGACCCTGGATCGAGTCCCACGTCAGGATCCCTGTGTGGAGCCTACTTCTCCCTCTGCCTGTGTCTCTGCCTCTCTCTCTGTCTCTATGAATAAATAAATAAATAAATCTCTTAACTCTTAAAATAAATAAATAAAAAGCCCACCAAACCCAGGTTTGGGGGTGAAAAAAATAAATCAGATAAATTTTATATGTTAAATAATGAATCTCATTGTTATAAAAAATTAAGTATTTTCATCACCTGCTCCTCTAGAAAGTTACACACAAAATATTGTAGGCAATATTCTGATAAGGACCTGATTACGAGGTTTTAAACATATCATCCAAGGTGTAAAATAGAAGTACAAACAGTTCCCATTAGTTTGTACTCCCCTTCTCCCAAATTTTGAGTTTGCTTATTACAGGATTTTGCTACTTTGTTGCTATATGTATGACTACAGCTCTTTGGAGGCACTTTTACTGATTGTACCTAAAATCCCCGCTAACAATTCTAATCCAACCAGAAGGCCCCTGACCAAATCAAATTAGATTTTCTTTCGAAGGGCAGCCCTGGTGGTCCACCGGTTTAGCACCGCCTCCAGCCCAGGGCATGATCCTGGAGACCCAGGATCGAGTCCCATGTCAGGCTCCCTGCGTAGAGCCTGCTTCTCCCTCTGCCTGTCTCTCTCTTTCTGTCTCTCATGAATAAATAAATAAATAAAATCTTAAAAAAAAAAAAAAAGATTTTCTTTCGTGCTAATTCTA